ACACACGTGATTTCTAAAATACGCTTATCCTTAGATTCATATTTATACTTCATGGTATTTTGCTTAAATATTTTAAAGTCAAGATACCGAAATACTAATACATAGAAGACATCTCATTTATCTGATAAACATCATTTCATATAATTTATGCATACTTCATCTCCTACTAACACAAGTGATACTACTTTTTTTCCTGACAATAGCAACACAATCTTACTTTGGAATAAAATAAGTTCTGAACAAAAATGTATGCAAATATTCTCTTTACTTTCAATCTGAAAAACTTGGTCAATTTTTCTATATTAAATGAAGGACTATAAATGAATAAATGTTTCTAAACAACTTTTTAGTAAATAAGAATTTATCCATTTCTATCACCTGAATGTACTATTCAGAAAAATTTTTGTAAAACTTTTGTATAACCCAGAAAATCATTACTAACCAAAAGCAAAATATAATCTTTAGTTTCAGAGATAAAAGACATGATTAGATGCTGCACACATTATTTTCTCCAAAATTATCTATATGTTGGGTTACATTAAAATAGTTTTCTAGGTTAAGTTATATTGGGATATTTAGCACTGCTGTATTATTATTGAGGAACATTTTTCACATTCATTTATATTAAAATGACAAAACTGGAGTTCTATAATTTGATAAAATGGCAAAGTTCAAAAGTTAGAATAAATACAAAAAAGGCATTTTAAGCTTTGCTTTTTAACACTTGATATCTTAGGTGTTCACCTTCTTTATATAACTACCAGGACATGGACTAATTTAACTTTAGTCATACAATACTATAACACACAAATGGATTTGAAAGTTTAAACATCTCTGCTCTAGCACGTAGTTTTTGGGAGAGGATTATCCTTCAATATATAACAGATGCAAGTATGTCCTATTGGGTGGTAGGAGGGAAGTATTTCTATTATGGAAAGATGAAGAAAGGGAGAGGTCCTTTTCATAAAGAAACAGATCACACTTATTAAATAATTCCCTTAAAAACTTTAGATCTTAGGCTGAGTTTCACAGAAATTTTGGAAAGATATTAAACAGTCTTACTGTCTCTCTTTTTAATAGCTAAATACTGAAAGTTACCCAGATTAATAACCTTTAAGGCAACAATATTGAATCAATTCTCAAAGCAGATGCAACATTCTGATGTAGAGTACTTGTCTAACTCCCTCATTTCACCAGTGGGACAGTGTAAAGAGAATTTAAGCTAACTCAAATATTCAGGGGATAAAAGAGAGAGAGAGAGAAATTAATACATGTGAAATGTGCTTCCTAAGAAATTATGTCTCCCTGTATAAGTTAAAATGAGAATTTCCAACTCAGTAATCCATCATACAAAAATAGCCTAACACTTAAAGAAAACCTACATCATTATGTGCACCACTTAGTAAATAAAAAGAAATAATATAAAAGTAGAACTTTGATGTTTAAGCCATATTTGCCAGATTATCTAAAATTAAAATCACCAACCAAAATCAAAAATACTGTAATTTTAAATTTTACTACAGAGGTCTTACCTTAGTACTTAGTAGGTCTTTACTACAGAGGTTTTATTCCCTAAACATACAAAAGAACAGCAATTATTTCCAAAAACTATAGAAATATTAATTTCAAAAAGTTTATTTTAATTATGAATTGTACTACATTTCTGGATAATGGTGATTCTAAAATAACACACCAACAGACATGACCAATCTGTAAACATGTAATGATCCTGGCAAAAAGTATATCTTGCTGGTTAAGCAGAAATATTTCTTTTTACAATTTTTTTGAGGAATAATATTTAAAACTATAGAAGAATTGAAAATATAATCTTAATATAATTTACATGAAAAGGGGGAAGACCAGTATTCCCCCTTTACCAAAGCTGGTAAAAGTCTTCAGGCTTTCTTACACATGGTATCCTTATAACTTCCCAACTGTAAGAGAATGAAACGTGTTTTGTAGGAGACAGCAAGTGATTGCAAATGTCTCCTACATGGCTTTACGTATCAGAGTCACTTGCAGATCCTGGTCTGCTGTCATCTGGCCCATCACTTTCCTTGTCCCAGTCTTTCATAGATGCTCCCATCATGAAATCATCACGTAGGATAGTCCAACTTGGGCCCTCTTCTGATTTCCCTTCAGTCTGAGAATCAAAATATTCCAAAGTCAATTCAGTCAGAAAGAAATGAAAAGGTCCAAGCACCACAGCTTTACAATAGGGTAAAATCAACACAGTGACTTTGTACACTATGATCATACATGTACAAGTATATAATAAAGAACTATACATTAATAAAATATTTTAGCAACCCCATAAAGACACACACAAGCAAAATAAAAACTTTGAGGATGGGGGGTGAAATACAGCAAAATCTAGGTTTGGTGTCAACTACTAAAATTTTTAACAACCAAACAGACTTACAATATTATTTTCCCTTTAGTGATAATTCATTAGAAAATTTTTGACAAATTATTTCAACACAAATAGAAATTTAAGAAAAGCTTTTGACTTAAGGTAAAGTGAATGGGAGAAAAGAAAACTAACCTTAGTATCGTGCTAGGTTTTTACAGATGCCACCTCATTTAACATTTTATAAAAATTTAAACCAAATGTTCCTTATTTAGATTATGATCTCACTGCCTGACTCAATCACACTATCAAGGACTAATCACATGTTAAAATTATAAATAAATGAACCAGGCAATAAACATAATAGGTGGTCAACTCATTTCAGTTAGTCACAGGATTTATGTAGTACTATGTAAGAGGGTCTAAAAACTAGGCTCTCATTTCATGGTACAACAGTACCACCTTGTGGTATTAAGTAACACAAAAAATGCAGAACCACAAGCTATGAGATTTCTCATTCACCCCTACATAATATTTACTAATAATTAACTGAGTATTGAACACTGTTCTTAGGGCTGGAAATATACTGATGGACAAAACAAAGTCCCTATCTTCAGAGGGCTAACAATCTATGCATATATATTTACCCTATTCACAGAAACATAAAACTTTGTTAAATAACAATCTAAATATGCAAGATAAGAACTCGGTGACATTTGGCTGGAAAACAGTGTTTTCATTATGGGGTCATTAACCATGTAGAAAGCAAATTTTAAAAGAAAAGATAGTTATAAAAGAGATTACTTACCTAACTCTGAAACTTCCCTTTATTTTAAAGAACATAGCCCTGAAGCACTCATCCCATTTAAGAAAAAAAAAAAAAAAAAAAAAAGGGCACTATTATAAACAGGAAAAATGTCCAACTGGCTCCCTCTTGTCTTCCTACTGTCAAGATATCAAGCAGAGATAGTGCTTAAATATAATCTGAAGACTGGATAGTACATAAATTTGATCAAAGATTTCAGAATTGGCTAAATCAAAGATTAAAACTCGTTACTATAATTTAACCAACAAAAGAAACAAAAATAAAATCTGTGATACTGAAAAACCAACAATTACAAGACAATTGCATGCTTTGCATGACACACTGATAGGAGAACAATGAAAGGGGAAGGTAATTTAGAACTCTCCCCTCGGAATAGGCTAGTAACTCTCCATCTCCCGCTTCTACCACATCAAACCTATACTCCTAAAACCGAAATTCTTCTTCAATTAGATTATGTTACCTAACTGGATAAAAAGTTATTTTCCCTGATTCAATCCACATTTTCTTTGCCAATCTCCTTAACTTACATAAAAGAAAGACCTGTTCATAATGAACAAAGGTCCACTCAGAACCAACAATTCTAACACTTGTCCTGTCAAATTAAAAATTCAAAGTTTTCAATTATATTCTAAGAAGTGTATAGCCATATCCAAATCGCTAACTAGGAAAGACATGTGCTGCCTTTGATATTTGTGTTTACATATGAACGTGGGCAATCTCAACATTAAGCCTCCACATTTAGACAACTACACCCACTATGCTATCAACATAATCAACTTGTACCAGCCAAGGGCACTCAGCTGATCCTATACAACTAACTTCAATGCACAGGGTTGCCACAGGAGAGCTCAATCAGACCAAGCAAGCTCTGCTGGACTGAATTACTTCTCTACCGGGTCACACCAGAATAGCTGGAGGCAACAACAGAATGAAGAGAAGAAGGTAGGAAACAAAGAACACAGACAAAACTTTATGTAGTTCAGAAAGAAAGAAAAGAATAGTAGACTAAGGAAAGAATGTGTTAATTAAAACTATGAGACCAGTGTTCTCCCACGCTTGTCTAGAATGGTTACAGTGGTTACTGTAAATACATTTCTTAGGCAATGAAAGCAGTGATGGAGTAAGTTCAAAGTTTGGTTCAACTGACCAATTTGAAGAAAGTAAAGCTTTATAGGGGAACTTTGGCAATATTTTGGGGGCTGTTGTTAAGGTAACAGTACAGTGGTTCTTAAAGTGTAACCCCTCAGATCAGCAGGATTAGCATGAGTATTACTTGGAAGTTTGTTAGCAATTCCAAATCTCCAGCGTCATCCCAGAACTACTGAATCAGAAACTCCCTGGTACAGCCCAGCCATTCCCTGATTTTGATGCACAATTATTTCTTTGCTTTAAACAAATATATCTTTGTGACAATTTTCATTCACTGTTATAAGACCAAGTACACTTTATGGATAAGAAGGAATGATATTAGAAAGTCCAATTTTAGATTTTGGAAATCCAATATTAGCCTCTGCAATGTATTAAAGCCCTGCTTTAAATACGTCATTCTAGCTAACATCACAGTAGCATTTTAATACCATGTAGCAACAATATGGTGGAAAAAAAAGGGACAATAGAAAATTTATTACAAACAAGTGTAGGTTCATATACTTTCAAAGCAGATATTTTACATAACATCTGTCTACCATGATGGAGGCTCAAAAAAGAATACTTTGTTTTCAAGGCAACATAATGACTCTTAATTTTAATGTCTACATTTGCTTAAGAAATATGTAACAAGAAAAGAGACAGGTGGCCCATGCTAAGGTGGCAGTCTGAACATAAAACAACTAGTTTTGCTCAATTGCAATATGCCACAAAACTACAGAAAAGTGATTTGTTGTTTTAAAGATGTTACTTAAAGGACAAGATCAGAAGAGACAATAGCAACACAAATAAAGAGAACTGGGGATAACAGTTATGTTCTGAGAAACAAGGAGATCTCTAGACCACCCTCTTCCCATTCCACATTATGCTGCCAGAAAACTGGGGGTTTGGCTCAGTGCCTGTAGGTCAGCGGCTAGGGCACCAGCCACATGCACGGGAGCTGGCAGGTTCGAATCCAGCCCAGGCCCGCCAAACAACAATGACAATTACAATAACAAAATAGCTGGGCCTTGTGGTAGGTGCCTGTAGTCCCAGCTACTAGAGAGGCTGAGGCAAGAAGAATCACTTAAGCCCAAGAGTTTGAGGTTGTGGTGAGCTGTGACACCACGGCACTCTACCCAGGGCAAAAGCTTGAGACTCTGTCTCAAAAAAAAGAAAGGAAAAAAAAAAAAAAAAACTGGGGTTTTGGACTTCCGGAGAGGTAATAGCAGCACAGAGAAACACACAGGTACAGTACCAAAAATGAGATTAAGTTACATACATACACCAACCAAATAATGAACCTCAGTCTCTTCTCATACTGGGCTCCTGAAATGCTAGTGAGCAGAGCTCTCCCTTAGGTAAGACATCAGGAATATTCCATAGAAAAGATGACCAGGCTCAGCACCTAGAGCTCAAAAGCTAAGGCGCCACCACATACACCAGAGCTGGCGGGTTCGAACCCAGCCTGGGCCTATCAAAAAACAATGACAACTACAACCAAAAAGATAAATAAATAGTAGTAGCCGGGCATTGTGGAGGGCACCTGTAGTCCCAGCTACTTAGGAGTTTAAGGCAAGAGAATCGCCCAGAAGTCTGAGGTTGCTGTGAGCTGTGATGCCACAGCACTCTACTCAGGGCAACATAGTGAGATTCTGTCTCAAAAAAAAAAAAAAAAAAAACCAGAAAAGAAAAGAAAAGCTGACCAGCTGCCAATCCATAAGGCAGGCAGTCCACATGCTCAGAGCTTACAAGGGCATCATAAAAAGACAACTCAGAATTATCAGCAAGAAGGTAGAGTACAACACTAACACCAAAATTTCAAAAGCTACTTCTAGAAAAAAGAAAATATTCAAATGGAAGAAAATTTAGGAGAAAATATCAATAATATCCTCAAAGAGATAAAATATATCCACAAAATAACAACAGCTGCTATTTTTGAAATACCATAAAAACAGTAACAAAGAGTTTGAAATTAGAAACATGTTGGCAGAAATTAAAAAGCTTAACACAAAGATGAGAAGATACAGCTTAAGAAAGTGTCCAGAAAACATAACAAAAAGAAAAAATATAAGAAAAAGAAAGATAACTGGAGGACCAGCCCAAAGGGTTCAAAAGACAATGAACACGAGATACGCAAAGGGAATAACAAAAATGTATGGGAGAAAACCAATGAAGTACTTCAAGAAAATGTCCCAAAGTGAAACACACATTTCCGGATGGAACAGAGCCCTCTGGAGTGCCCTATACACCTCCACAGAGATAACTGTGTGAGACTTTGGGGACATTGGGAACTAAAAGAAAATCCCATAAGCTTCCAGAAAGAAAACAAAGCAAGTCACATACATACAAATCATCAGGACAAAACAGATTTAGACTGGCCAAAGAAGCAACAAATACTTTCAAAATGCCGAAGTATTGTTGTTCTTAATACCAGTCCTTGTGAGGGCTGAATGGGGTACTTTCAGATATCTGAGGTTCCCGAAGATTTCCTTCAATGTAGCCTTCCTCAGGAAACTACTGCCCGCCACAAAAGGACAGAGTAAACCAAAAGCCAACCACATGGGATGGAGAAAATGGGTGAACTGCCAAGAGAAAGAAGGAAAAGGGAATTGCAGAAAGAAAAGGATGAAAGCGAATGGGGATGCCAGGCTGACAGCTCCCCATCAGGCATAAAGGACGACCTGCAGCCGTGCGGAGCAGGGAAGGCAGCTGCTGAGAGCTGTCCTCACCATGCCATCTGCCCTGCACAGCATGTCAGCCAGACAAAACCAGTGAAGGAGATGCTTTACTAAAAAGTGAGACAAAATCAAGAAACGAGAAGGATATAAGAACTAGGAAA